CATGGGAAACTAGGGGGTTTCTGTGCCAGTGCACCTCCTCTCCTTCCTTCTCATTCCTTCCACTGACCTGGGTGCTTGTCCTTCTTGTAAACTATTCCTAAGTCCCCACCTACTCTCAGGTTCCCCTCTTAAAATACATTCTTGCAGAGGCTCAGGCACCATCACTAATTGATTCAGCTTTGGCCAGTGGCAGGTCCGACATGGAGCCAGAGGAGCTTTTGAAAAGCTTCTTACAGGGGCCTCCACTGTAGCCCCCTTCCCTGCTACCAAAAACACTGCCACACAAACCCAGCACATAATCCTAGAAATAAAACATGTTGGGCATCTTTTTCTTCAGACAGGATGAATATCAGGTGAGATAAAAATCAAACAAGTGAGAGACAAGGTTTGCTTGTATATACTTTAAGCACAAAGACACCCTTGATACATATATGAGCCCTGAACGAGAAGATCTCTGGCTGTAGTAAAGAAACACCTGTGTTGCATGTGAAAATGAGAAAAGAAAGACAAAGCAGTGGTAGAGCACTTCTCAGAAAATTAGAGAACTTGCTAAAAGTCTTATGAAAGATTTGATAGATGATATTGAGTACCTCACAGGAGTGATATCAGGATTAGCCCTTCCTCACAGAGCTATTTGAAAACAGATTCAAATCAATATATAGGTGATAAGTATTTGTTGTTATTACCTCTTGCATTCTGCAGGGTTTTTTGAGTAGATAATTCACTGTGACACATGAAATAGTCCTGTGGGAGCTTCTGGGTTAGAGCAGAATAAAACTAGTAAATGAAGTGTCAAGACTTTATACTACTGTTTATTTTATACATTTAAAGTATACTATCCTTTCTTGTACCATTCCTTCAAATAACTAGACCAATTTGCTATATTTTAAAAGTGCTTATGAAGATCAAAGCAGCCATCACAATTGTAGAGCTTTGATATATTGAATACAAATTAAGGATTGACTGTTTGATATGAAACCCAGAATTTTTCAAAATACAACATATTTTAAACACCAGTATAATGCTAGGGCTGTCACTTCTGACTCATAAATACTAAATCTCTTCATTGGCTTTCCAAAGCCTAAAGCCTGTCACCATACATTTGTTAGTCTCCAACCCTAAGTGAAAACAAATTGTACATCTGTAGCACCGAATGTAGAAATAAGACATCTTTGACTTCAGAGGATATCCGTTCACATAAAATTGCTAGAGGTTTGTCCTGTCGGAAACATACATCCTTCCTTCCTTTCTGTTCCTCCCAAGTCTGATGATCATGCACATACTCAGAAGGCAACAGCATGGCATCAAAAAAAAGGCAGATGTGTCTTTATACAAAGCAATGTACTTAAAAGGGCTACTTCTGTATCATACTTTACCAGCTTGTTAAGATTATGGATTTGTTGCATTTGGAACATTTCCTTGGTGAACATGTCTGGAACAGCTAACAAAAAGAATCCTGGGCTTTGGCTGGGACCTCCAGACTCTATTATAGTACAAAATAGGTAGTAATCCCCTGTTGTCTCCTGGCTCGTTATGAGAGAATACAAATTTGCCCAGAAGAAAAAGACTGTAAAAAGTTTCTTTGGTGAGGAAAAAGTAATACTATCTGTATGATTCCATGTATCAGAAGAGTATAAGGTATAATGAATTAATCATGAGCATAATGTATATAGTTAAATGTGTATGTTACTAAACCCCATAAATAATCTTTTTTCACTCAATTTAATGTGAAACTTTAAAAGGAAATAATTATGAAATAACTTATCCATTTTATAAGTCATAATTCTTATTTGAGCTTCAAAAATCATAAATGCATTATAAAGTCCTATAACAGTGCTTATCTATGACAAGAAAGTAAGTACCTGGTTTCTGGAGTTTATTGAAACTTCTTGAAAGTTCTTTTCATTTAAAAGTTCTTAGACAAAATAACAACAGTTTGTGTTTAAAACTGCAACAGTAAAGACTGAGTTAATATTCACATTGAAACTATTTGGTGCTTCAGTTCAATCCTGGAGTCATTCGTGCCTTTTACATGTCTACTGTCACCCGTTTATCAACATGGATGGAAGACTAAGACTGTACTATAGAGAAAGAGGAGTATGAGACACATTTATGCTTTCTTTGCCCCACCTTATTTCTGCCTTCTGTCTTTATGATTTTCTTACTGTTCTTCACAAATTGAAAGTTAACAGCAGTGAAATATTAGGCCACTGATATTACTTGTGTGTGTCATTTTTCTTCTGCCATGATTCTTAAGTTGCTATATGGCTATTGGCCAACTGAGTCTATTGTGTCTCTACCTGTCTAGGTCTACTGCAGCTGAGGTCTGCTTTTCAGTTTAAAAATGTGGTCATGTTACACTGATAAGCTAGTGTTTTATGATGCATAGAAGCAGCTTATAGCAGTGGAAAACCTGAAGAATGTTTCTTCTTCACCAGAAGAAACAAAATAATATTGTAGAGATGTACAGTAATTCCTGACCTTGACTTCTGAGTAAGATTACACGTGTTTGCAGATCAGAAGCTTATGAAAGGTTAGATTTGAACAAATTTAACTTTTCAATCTTGCTCACCCTGGAAGTGTGGGGTTTTTCTTTTTACTAACAGTTTATTTAGTACTACGGTAATAAATTTTAATATAACAAATCAAGTTTGCTTGGTCTTTCATGACATATATGATAAAATACAAACCATATCTAAATACAGAAGACTACTCAGACATTTCTTGCTATTTGTATGCAACTAAAAAAAAAAAAAATGAGGTACACAAAAAAGCACTAGAACTAACAAGATAACACTGAAGATCTAAAACTGTAGTCAACCTCTAAGCTTACCTGAAGTTTAGTCATGCTTTTCAAAGAGCAGTAAGCAATATCACCAGAGTAAGACTAGGTTTTCAGTTTAAAAACAAGTTCAGAATCTGACTTAGCTTGAAATTGATACCAGTCACCTGAAGATAAGAAAATTCCACCAGCTTAAATTGTGATAATGTTTATCTTTTAATTTTTTAATTCTAGTTAGTCACGTAAAATCATAAATCTTAAGGAGGTAAATTTGCTTACTAAAATATATTTTACTTTTTTCACTTTCAACTTCACTTTTAATTCCAAGTGTAATTAATTCCCAATTTTGCACAATGATGCAAAAGAAGAATTGCTCAAGCTCCTGTTTCATTTGTCTTACATATACACTTAAGCGATTTATGAATAAAAAAGTTTTCTTGACCTATTTTGTGACAAAACTCTCACTAAATGGAATGTTTTAACAGTTCTATGGACAGAAAATCCATGTTAATAAGCATGTGTAATACCCCAGAACAAAGTAGTACTGTCTAGAACTCTTTCTGGTATACATTCAAGACACTGTTTAAAGTGCATTCCAAAAAATAAATGCATGCTAACATAAATCTGTAAAATCACAACAGCTCATTGAATGTTCTAGTAATTCAAGATATATGCACAAGTCATAAAGGTGAAGAGTATGGACTCAAATTTTTGTTCAACAATGTCTTAGAAAAGGTTCAAAAGAAACAACAAACTTCAGTATGCCTAATACATAGTTTATAATTCTAGAGATTTATAATACATGTAGTATAAAGAGAACATGAAGGCTAATTATATTTTTGACATTTTGAAAAGATTACACTAACTATATCAATATGAAGAAAATTATAATGTAGTAGAAGAGTGTGAAAAAAGTGTACTATTCTTGCAATTCTTTTGTCATTTAATACTTTCTTATTAGCCCTAGTCATATTCTAAGACTATTTTACAGTCTTTTGATACCACAGAGTGCCATTATCAAATAGATATAATAAATCCAGTATTATAAAGTATATCTGGTTTTAAATATTTGATCTCTAACTTCTTTTTTCAAAGTTAAATCTTCAGTGGCACTCTCAGGAAGTAAGTGCCCAAACCTTTTTGCAGATCTCAAAAATCCCACCTAGGGAAGCTATATCAAGGCTTGAAAATGCATAGACTAAGTATCAGTGCAACAGCATCTTAGGCTGATTCCAAACTGACCTGCTAAGGCATGCCCCAGAATGCTCAGTCTCATTTCACCAATTATTCAAATCAGAATTGGGCAAACATACACTAAAGCTGCTCTGTGGCTACATTTCTAAATTGCATTTTCACTGTCAAGTCAAGAAGGACCTAGGGTTCTCACCTAAGCTAGAAAACATGGAGCATACTCTAATTCAGTAAATATAAGTAAATTCAGGGATTGACACCAACCTCAACTTCTTACCTACTAGTATTGAATTTTGCAATGCAAAATGCAGAACAAATAAAAAAAAATGGAAAATACAGAAATGCTATTTTGATTATACTAGACATCTATTCCCATCATCTCAGCCTATATTTCTATGCTGAGAAAAAAGAGATTCAGAATAATGTCCTGATTCAGAGAAGTAGTTAACTTAATTGTGCTTCAATCCAACTGCTCATGCTTGCCGTTCCATGCCATTGAAATGCACAAATGATTTTTTTGAAGAAAATTGTTACAAATGTGTTTCAGAGAAAAAAAAAAAAAAAAAACCAACACCACCAAAAAACACACAAAACCCCAAACAGTAATAAAAGCAGAAAGATGTGCAAGAAGTAGCAATGGTTTTTATGCTGAGCTCTACAATTCACTGGTTCAAACATTTCTCTATAAAATTCAACTACCACAACCAAACCTGATATTTTTCCATAGGAAAATATAGAACAATGTCTCTGCTTAACTGCCAAACCTTTTATGTTAAAGCAGTAACTCACAGGGACATGTCATTGTAACACCTTTTACTTGACTAAAATACTGTGTTGAGATCTGTCTACATTATGCAAGATATGTGATAACATGTGTTATGATGAAACAGTCATATTCATACCATGCTCATAGGAAACCTATAATTGTAGTCCTATTCCTCTAAATCTCGGAAATATTATGCCAACAATTTTTCCACATCTTTTCCAAGATCATTCTGTATTAATGGAAAATATGCCAATTCACTGTTTAAACACATGAAGGAAATAGAATCATGGACTTACAGTCTGTAATTTTCAGGACTCTTTTGACTTCTCCACTTCCTGATCCTCCACAGCCATCTTCATCATCACAATCTCCACTGATTTGTTCATCTACACCTCCACCACTGCCTGTTTCTTGGAGATCCCATTTATCATATTTATGAAATGATTTGTCCTGTAGCAGCTGAAGACAAGATACAGTAAGCAAGTTAGTAGTACAGATGGAGAACTTCAGTGAGTACCCAAAATTTCATATGTCTCTCTAGTAATTATCTGATTTTAAAAGAAAAATCCAGGATCCACAGAATGAGAATTCTCATTTTTGATTTTTTCTTTTTCCTGGCTTGCAGCCAAATTTAAGATTGGTATCTGGAGATGTATACTCCATTTTTAATTAAAAAAAAAAAAAAAAAAAAAAAGTTTGTGTCTTTACTGCTAGATAAAAAATATCAGGCACCAATTCCTGGCCCAGAGGCCAAGTGGAATGGATAGAGACATAGAATCACATAATAGTTTGGGTTGGAAGGGACATGCAATGAGTAAGGACATCTTCAACTAGATCAAATTACTCAGAGCCCTGTCCAACCTGGTCTTGAATGTTTCCAGGGATGGTACAACTACCACCTCTCTGGGAAACCTGTTCTAGTGTTTCACCACTCTCATCACAAAAAAACTTCTTCTTTATATCTATTCTAAATCTACTCTCATTTAGTTTAAAACCATTACCCCTTGTCCTATCTCAACAGGTCCTACTAAAATATTTGTTCCCATCTTTCTTATAAACCCCCTTTTAAGTATTGAAAGGCCAGAATAAGGTCTCCCCAGAGCCTTCTTCTCTAGGCTGAACAACCCCAGCTCTGTTAGCCTTTCTTCATAGGAGAGGTGATCCACCCTCTGATATTTTTTCTGGCCCTGATCCAACAAGTCCATGTACTGAGGACTCCAGAGCTGAACACAGTTCTCCAGGTGGGGTCTCACCAGAGCAGAGGGGCAGAATCACCTCCTTCGACCTGCTGGCCACACTTCTTTTGATGCAGCACAGGACACAGTTGGTTTTCCCGGCTGCAAGGGCACACTGCCAGCTCATGTCCTCACTCCTTCGGGCTAATCCCCTTTAGAGCAGACAGACAACATCCATGCTACATAGCAACTGGCCCGGATCTTTTCAAGACCCATGTGGTGTCCACATGGCCTTAAGATACAATTATTATTTTGTGTGAATTTTTCAGTTTGAAATATCTGGAATAGTAGGAGAGCTGTGCTGCAGCTTTATATCGGTGAATTCAAACCTTACTTATTGTGTGCTCTGGATGTGTCATATGGACATCTGGTAGCAGCTGAAGGAAAAAAAATGTGTTGGGACAATATCAAATGCCTGACTAGGGAGCAGCAGACAAATCTAGTATTGTTGGAGCCAGTGCTAACCTGAAGAGATCTATTTCCCAAATCACATCCAGGCATTGTTCTGGGTGAACTAATAAGGGTGACCTAAAAGAAAACAAAGTGATATCTGATACTGGCCTAGGTGATTTGGGTCTAGTACACCAGATTGTTTTCTGGTTCCTTTTTATTTATCCCTGTAGACATGGCCAATGATGCCAACATGGTCTACAAGATAAAGGGAAGAGATCTCAAAGTTTAATTCCTTTCTCTCTTCTGTTGAGCAGAGCTAAGCAATCACCTGAACAATGTTCATCTCTCTCATTTATCAAATGTATAAATGCTGTCATCCATCTTTTTAAATCCTAAATGGTAGGACTGTCATATATACATACACAATGTGCCCTATGCCCCATCCAGATTCAGTTCAGTTTACTTATCAGATACATATAAACTTCATAATCTCTAAAGAAATGGGTTATTACAGATGTTAAGAATTATTATAACTTTATCTAGTCCAAATTTTCAGCTGGTGCAAGCTCATGCCTTATATTTACTTCAGTCTAACAATACTTCTTTACACTGGTCAAAAATTCCCTGGCTCATATTCTTTAATTTAACAATAAGATTTTGTTTTTGTTTTTGGTTTTGTTTTTGTTTTTGGTTTTGTTTTTGTTTTTGTTTTTTCCTGGGAGTAGTTACTAATTAGTCTGAAACAGACTTAGTTGTTTTATACGTTCAAAAATGTGTGTGCTTTGTTGTTCAATTAAGATATTGGGTTCATATTTTTGGACAATACACTCAGTTTATTTATGGAGTATGGAGTCATTTCCCAGACTACTTGTCAAGTACATCTTTTAAGTGCTGTACAGTTCCCAGAAAATAATATTTTAATCACTACTACAAAGACATCACTCAGCTACATCTCAGTAGCATTAGAAAAGCCATTTGCAACACTGTATAAGAACAGGAGAATGCCATTCACCACTGAATCAACAGAACCAATTTATGCAGCACTTCTGATTTCAAAGTTTTATTAGACAGCTATATGCTACCTGAAAGACAAATTACCTAAAAGAAAAAATACTCCTTCGTATAACTGCCCTGCTCCTTGCTCATTGTGTAATCCATGCCAACTTCTGCCAACATAGTATTTATGGAAACAAAACACAGCCTGCTTAATGAACTACAATCTGTTAAACAGGACACTTTCCTTATTTTTTTGGCCAAGTTCAAATCATGACACAACTCCAAAGCCAGCTGTATGTTAGAGTACTCTTGATCCCTGATCTCTGTGGCATAAATGTGGAAATAAACCACTGGCAAGACAGTTGTTCAAACGAGAGTTGTTGTCAAAGTTTCCATAGTAGATATGGATAGATAGATAGATATAGATATGGATGATATAGATATATAGATATGGATGATATAGATAAATAGATATGGATGATATAGATAGATATGTAGATATATAGTTATATGTATATATACACACACACATTTTTTCAACCTGAGAACATGCATCCCCCTCTACATTCTGTATCTCTGTCTCAATCTTAAATATATATTGGCTAAATAAACTCTTTATATGTTGCTGCTTCTCTAAATTTCAGCCCAAAGTAGTTATGTTTCCTTTACACTTACTGTGCATTATTTACTTATGACTAGAAATCTGAAAACCCAGATTACTTTAAATGTAGATTCAACATTGAAAAATGTTTTTCAACTTTTTCTAAGCTTTTTCCAAACTTTTTACTGTACTTGAAAGAGTAGAGATTAAGAAATTAACAAGCTTATTTGTAATTTGGGTTTTGTTATTTTCTTCAGTCTACTTAATTGTACAGGAAGAAATATTGTCTCCATATAAGTTCACAAATCTCAGTACAGGTTATCTACTAAGCATGGCTTTGATCTAATATAAATTATTTGTTAAATTTATATAGTCCATGTACTTCTTCAAAGCTAGCTTGATACACATTGGAAATAAAGCTAAAAGGCATTTAAAATTATTATTCTGTTGTGCTAAAATTTTATAAGGCTATTAATATTTTAGGAAAAGAAACACAGGTTGCAACTGGAGATATTTTTTATATACAATTACTGGGTCTTCCAGCTGAATAAGGAGGATTACTAGCTGTATACTCTGTGCCCAAAAGAACTAGTACAATAAGTGTTCTTCCCTGTGTATTTTAGGCTAAAATAATCATTTTTTCTTTTAGGTGTCCAAAAAGGTTTTCCATTCTATCAAATTTCTGTCCTTAAAAAAAAAAAAATAATACTGTGAGTTTAATCATGCATCATTGTCTTTCAATTTAAATGAAAATAACAGCAAATATTGGCAACCATGTTAGATTTACTGAGTTATGGAAATGGTTAGGTCATCAGTATTGTGATATCACAGTAGGCATGACAATACTCCAGGCTGGATTTTCTGGACCTTTCTCTTAATTTTGGTGAAATTTTATTGAACTAAGATTTTCATATCAAAAACACATCCTCTGCTGGTGGCATTTTATTTTCACAGAAAATCTGTGTTTTCTTACCACTGCTGTGGGACATATGCACAGATGAATTATTTGGGTGTAAGTCAACTGAAAGGTCATTGGGACTCTTCAATTTCACACTTTGTCTATGTAGCTTTGGGAAGCTGGGACTCCAGCTGAAAGCTTTCACTGCTCAATTGCCTAAAAGTCCCTTGGGATTTTCACTGATGGCTTAGTGGAACACTTTCTTTGACACAAACAGCAATTCTGAAAAAGGTTATAATACCAAAATGTGCCATTAATAAATTCTATGAAATTTCATTTTTTAGAATGAAAATTCAGGTTTGCAAGACAGAAGTTACATTGTTGTAATAAAGTACTTACAGGGTTCTGTGAATATAAGACTTGGTACTATACAATATTTTAGTAAGAGAATGAACTGCTTACACCAGCTACAGAGGCAGCTATAAGGATATCTGAAGCTTCCTGACAAATCTGAGTGTAAGCATAATTAGGAAAATTATCACTAAGAATGTATGGCTGTTGTACAGTCCTATGGAGTCTGGTAAATTTTTACATTTATTTAAGATTTTTATCAACAACCTGGAAAGCAGTATAAAACACAAAATGGTAGTGATAAACCTTTCACTGCTACAAGAACTGGTGAGCTAGTAAATAATAAAGAGCAGTGACAAGCTGTCTAAGAAAATACCTCATCTGATAAGCCAGGCAATTGAATGAATTTTTAACCACATATGATAATAAAATACAGACAAATGTAAATTTGCAAGTCTAAATATTGTATTACATGCATATTAGAAGACAAAATATTCTGTTCTGCAAAATAATTGTGGGTGTCCTGGATAGCCAGCAGACTATGAATTATCAAGAGCAGTGTTCTAGCCAAGGATTTTAATGGGATATCTTTAGAGACAGAAATAGAAATACTAAAACAGATTAGGGTTGTTATATTAATCCTAAATCCAATTCTTGTTTCTTCTGTTCAGAAAGGGTGGCACAGAATTGAGTTTTATTATAGTTGTTAAAATTGAATGAAAAAATACTTTTTTTTTCAATCAAGGAGCTCATCCTTTAGTGCACTAAAAAAACCCAACCAACACCTGAAGAATTTATTTAACCAGCCTTGTAAGCACCTACCTGGCAAACAGATTTGAGAGTTTTGTAGCAGGCCAAAACATGTGAAAATAGCAAATGCATCAATACCTTTTATTTACACATTCAAAGTGAATCAAACAAATCTATATTATCAATATCATATATTTAAAAAAAAAAAAACACAAAGGTTGTCCTATATCAAAAT